ACAATTTCATTCAACTTTGATTAATTCCATTATTAGTACACCTGAAAGTTTAATCATAAACCGAATTTCTATTTAAACGCATGTCGATTTTGTTTCAATTTAACGACATTAAAAAAGTAGTGGTACTAATCCCCTGGACGGCTACTGTTAAAATCCCATTGGCGGCATGTGTCCCGCCTGTCCTTGCGTCTCTCCCTCAAGCGGCTCCAGGCTGCTCTCGAGTTTCATTTGCGATTCATATCGGTCGACGCGCGCGCGGTGCGTATCGCAATTCGCGTTGCGAATCGATCGGCGCGCCACCGCCTCCGCCTCCGCCTCCGCTACCGCCACCGCCGCCGCCGCCGCCGCCGCCGCCGCCGCGTCCTCGCCGCATTGATTGACGGGTGCCGCTGAAGTTGTTTTTTTTTTCCTCGCGGAGAAGCCGATGTAATGGATAGTGCTCGGAATGTCCAAGCCAGATGCCTCGCGGGGGTTTTTGTGGTGCGTGCGGATGTTGCGCGTCCCGTACGCGTTCCCGCGTGCGAGCGGAGCTCCCGCGCCCGGCGGCCGTCGCTACTTTTTCTGCGCGGGCGGCTTTCAAACGAGCGCTTCCGATTTATCTTGTGCGGCCGTGAAACACGAGGTGCATAAATCGGGGACGAGATACAGTAATCGTAGTCCCGGCCACGTACCGTTCATGTTTTGCCGCATTTGTATGCGTAAGGGATAACCGTGTTTTTCAGCTCCGCGTTTGCCGAAAGGATATAAAGTTTGCGTTTTTACCACAGTGAGGTGCTAGTTTTCGAAATAATTCTTTTGCAGGATGTTGCTCGTTACACACGGTAGTAAATGAAACCTTTTTATGAACGATACCAAAAATATGTCTAGTTTCTAGGGTTTCTATGGCTTTTTAATTGTCTAGCTCTTGTTTTGTCACATTTAATGGCCTTGTTAACATGCTTAAGTTTTTATTTTCTGCACATCTTTTTTCTCTTTTCATAGTTTTGAAATTGCATTGTTTGTATAATATTTTCCTAAACGTTTTTACTTGGGTTCGCCAGTTTTGTTTGGATGTAAAGTTTTTCCTTCGTATACATTTTTGAGAATCATATTGAGCCGTGCCAATTTGTAACAAGTTCAGCAATTTTTTAGTCCTTAATACTGTGACCGCAACAGTAGAGAGACGATACTTCCGTGAAACATGTGTTACGTTGAAAATGGAGTGTAGTAACAATTGTCGACTCATAACATTCATGACTTGCTGAACTTGTACTTGCGTGGGACCGCTTCCCGTCTCTGCGTTTGCCGCAAGGAAATTTAATTCAAAGAGACACGAGTTCTCGAGGTTGTGAGAACAAAATTATAATAATTGCAGTAGTTAAGGCAGCGAGCATTAAGGATAAGCCGCAGCTCAGGACGAGTAAGTATCGCATGTGCTGAATGCACAAGAATTTATTGTGTCAATCTGACTCGTGTGAAAGACTGGTTTTTTGATTATTTTGTTTCCGCGCACGTCAATGGTTATGGTTATTAGTCCCGTAATTGTCATGCATGTTATATCCCGGGAGATGGCTGGTGTCCCTCCGTTGGAACGTGGAATATGGCTGCGACCTACATGTCGCCTTGCCTAGCTTCCCTTCGAAGTATCTCCCCCTAGCGATATATCGACCCAACTCCGCAAAGCTATAAGCTCCTCACTGGTCTCTTAACTCGTGTGACTGTGTAGAGCGTGTACGTTGTGTGTGTTTGAGTAAGGAGAACAGGGATGAGTAAGGAAAGATCATGTGCCGACTGTAGTCCGTCCGTTCGATGAGGGGCTGCTCCAGTATTCGCATGGAATTAATCGGAGTAATTATGAAATACTTACTGATCAAAGCAGCCGGCCTCTATAACTTTCCCCCAGACAACGCCAGATTTCGACTTACCTATTTAGCTAGTGTCGAAAACCAGTCGCCGGTAAGACACGAACCCCTGGTCAAAATGATTGAACTTTTTGACGCGTCGACTGCTGTGGTCAGTAGTCTCGTCAGGGCTCGAACCCTAGGACCCCACTGTTATAATCGCCGCATGATAACTGTTGTTCCCCGAGAAAACGTATCCGGTTGTCATATTAAATATCTTTGATCAGAATAAAAACGCAAAATCAGATGTCCTGTTTTTTTATTTGCCCCGTGGTTCTTCTTTCGTTCCACTTTCAGGGGCTGTCTCACTTTGATCATCTCTTGTTGTTTACGCCTTCGCGCAAGCTTCTTTGTCTTTGAGGAGCACTCTGCTTCTTAGGCAAGCCTACGCTCGACAGTTTTGCAGGTATCTCATTCATATCAACGGCTTCCTTAAAACAAGTGCTTCTTCATCTTGATTTTTCTTCGTCTCGAGATATGAACTCTAGTACATGGAGATAGGCGAAACTGACTTCGCCAGCCGAATTCGTTAAGTACATGAAATTTCGAAGGTTAAACGAATTCTAGGCATCGCGGGTTTCTGGATGGGTGACATACTATGAACCCCGGGATCTAACGGCGCCAAGACCAATTGCGCTTTAACGGTCATAATGGGTAAATACGAATACAAGGAGATCGCGGTCTTGTCGCTACCCATCTCCCTGTTTTCAGCCACTTATTCTATCATATATTGTTCGAGACACAGCCTACCCTCAATTCGCCCTTCGGAGGGAGCAATGTAGGGCTAGCGAGCAGTGCAACAGGCGCATTAATATATCAATAGGGCTAATCCGAATGAGTCACGATGAGTACTCCACAACACCCCCCCCCCCTTTCCCCTCCTCCTCACAACAGCTCCCTTCGACTCTCCTCTCCCTATCTACCTTCCTCGCGTCGAAGCGCTCTCTAATTAAATAAGGCCGGCAGACGCGGCGCTGTAACGAGCCGTGAAGGCTGCTGTCTTCGCCACTTACCTCGCTTCGCAGGTTGCACCCGAGCGGCTCCATTATCGAACGAAACGCGATACGCAGCAAGTTCGCGGAGTGCGGGTAGCTCGCAGAAGAATGGCAATGCGGAGTGGCGTTGATGCCTTGTTTACATGAAAGAAATCCAAGAAGAGCAATTGGCTTAGGGGCTCTAGACGCGCGAATGTGGGGACAAACGTTTGTGACGATGGATGGCGGTGAGCTGTGCGGTCTCGTCTTCTGCCGTAATTGATAAGGCCTTTTGTCGTACATTTGCTTACATTTGTAGCTGTCTGAAGCTATTACTCTAATCGTTTTTTGAGTCTAATGGGCCGTAAGAAATCAGTTAATCTTAGAGTTATGGCACATTGTTGGAAGCAATTAAAAATATTAAAATGCTCTTCAGTATTTTCACAAGATAGGCACGAAATGATATTAAAAAAACTATTATTTATTCAGGTCTCCCGTAATGTGTATCGTGTTGGTTATAATTGCTTTTCATCCTACACGCTGGATATTCTGTTGCTAGACTGGATCGTTCTCCAAATATTTCTTATTATCTTAAAATATAATTGATAAATTGCATTAAATTGACATTAGTAAGCTTTTAGAGGAATACTAATAATTTTGTGGCAAAGCTTTTTTTCTCTTTTCATTAGGTTATTATAAATAAATATATAAGCTTCTATCTGCGAGTTGAAATGAATGGCTCCTCTATACATTTCTTTTCGTATATTTGAAAGTTTAACATTTTTGTGTAATTTTTTATAAGTTTATTCATATCACTGTCGAAAGACAACCTGCCTTTTTAAGATTGGCAATTTGACAGCAGATCTGTAACAGTTCTGATTTTGGGTATAGTGTTATTTATTATTTATAGTATATTTTATAGTATTTATTTATAGTATATACTAATAATTTATTTTTTATTTTATAATATTATTATCTAAAGTCATTGTATAATAAGAGTGGCCGCGGTGACTTCTAGCGCGTACTATCTCAGCGCCTCAAATGGAAGGTTTACATGTTCGAATCCTGCCTAGGGCAAGGATCTTTTCGTCTCTTGGGTTTCGTGAATGTTGCCGCAGGAATTTTGCGTTTTGTTGCTCCTAGATCCTCAAGTGAATTAGTGTGCATTGAATGCTTTAAGCATCGGCGTCACTGCCGAGGGACAGGGGTTGCGTCTCCCCCATTGATATGTTTTGATACATGGGGTATTTTGAAGGGGACTTTCCGGTAATCTGTACCATATCTATTGATTTTCCCCCCTCCTAGTTTTGGGCAGGTGAAGCCGATTGATTCAGGATCCAGTGGGGCGACTTCTGATGGAAATAGCCCCACCAAAAGTAATAAGATACAATTGCAAGTGTCCTGGTGTCTGTTTCAGACTTGGCTGGAAAAAGCCGTATAAAAATATTCATGATGCCAAGAATGCTAATGTTGATGCTAAGAAACAACTATAGGCGTTTGTGTGTCCGTTGGAGGCCTTGCCTGCAAAAAGACTTTACAAGTAATGATGTGTTTGTGTGTGGGACCGGCTTAGGGGTCACAGGACATGAATTCATGTCACTGCAGTGACTCTGATCGGGAAGTTATAGTGTTAAAGAGTCCCGACGATGTCAATATTTTCCAAACTAGTTACACATCTAGATCGCCGCTGTCTAAAGGAGAATTCTATTGGCATGCTAATGTGATCGGTAGGTTTGCGTGTTTTTTTCCGATAAACACCAGGCGGCTGACAGAGTAGTACTACTAACAAACAGACCATGGACCGCGCGCAATCTTTCCTTCCCCATCCATTTTCTATCCTCACTCCCTACTTACATACTTACACGTATTTACACTTTTACGAACTACATTACCACACATGGCGGGAGACCAGTCGGGAGTTTAGAGCTCGTCCGGGCTGGGGCGGTTCCTCTGATGGGGAGTTATGTGGTGGGAGAAAACCTCACTAGCCGAGGGTAGGTTAGTGCCAGATCTGACCATCCAGATCACCGCCACCTCACTTTAAAAAATCAAACAAAAAAAACACCAACACCATAAGTTACAGTTAGTAGCAGGTGACGCGCGTAGAAACACGAACTAATGATTGAATGGCGTATGTGTGTTTCAGGCACGACGCAGCACGTGGCGGCGACGGCGGAGCTGCGCAAGAAGTACGAGGAGTGGGCGTCGAGCGGCGAGGACGGCGCGCGGGCGCAGGTGCTGCAGTGGCTGACGCAGCTGGTGAACCGCACGGTGGCGGAGCAGGCGGTGGCGCTGTACAACGGCACGTCGTGGCCGGCGTTCGCCGCCATGGTGTCGGACATCCGCACCGTGTGCCCGCTGCTGGACATGGCGCGCCGCCTCGAGCGCTCCTCGCCCGTCTTCTACGTGGCGACGCAGGGCCGCGGCGACCCCGAAGTGGCCGACGCCGCGCTCGACGCCGAGGCCATCACGGCGCGCTTCCGGCCGCTGTCGCCGCAGCAGCGCCGCTACATGACGGCCATGCAGTCCTTCTTCTACCCGTTCGTGGGCATGGGCACGCTCAAGCGCGACACCGCCGCCGGCACGGCGTCGGTCGTGCTCATCGGGCAGGACGCCAACCCCAGCCTCAAGTACCCCAACTGCGACCTGTGGCTGGCCGCCGACGTCGTGCCGCGCTACGCCCGCACCGACTGAAGCGCCGCGCGCGCGTCCGTCGCATGCGACCGTGCCCTGCGACAGGTACGTCCGCGAGAACACGCCGGTGGAGCCACTGCCAGCCGCTTGGCTCTCCCTCTGTGTTGCACACGCCCCGCGCAGCGTTCCCTCCCCCGCCGCCACTCACTTTTACTACTCTCTTCTCATTTGGTTTCGTTTTCATTTGAAAATTAGAACCATAAGAACCAAAGTTGGCTCTCTAGCAACTTTGGTTAATCCATTCTCATTAAAATGGCTTGCCCATATTTTCCTTTCGTGAACTGATCTTAAGAGTGGGAAAAATACCACAGTCTTTGATTTTCAGATGGTTTTGCTGCATATGTAATGTATTGCTACTTCACTTCAGATGACCATGCTTTGGTCTCACAATCTGTCTCTTTGATTCTCTGTTCCTCACAAACAGAATTCTGATGTGTAGAAACATCAGAATATACTAAAATCTGTCAATATATTCACTGTAGCCAATAATTGAAGGTCTATCAAAAGATATATTACACAACGTATTTGTCATGTTTGGTGTAAAGTCGATGTTATGTCACAATTCAATCGAGTCATTTAATTTGCCAGAAATTAAGTGCTATAAGTTCTAAATGTGTCAAGTTATACACTGTATAGAATAGTACCTTGATTGTCGATAAAATTAAATACTAGCAATTTCTTTAGTAGGCTTGAGTAAATGTGTAATGAACTATGTGCAGATACATTATCTCTTCCTTTGTCGTATTTTGTGTATGTTAAATGTGTGTAATAGTTTCAGGTTAAATGTATTGACAGAGATTTAACAGAAAATCCCAAAGCCACTTTGAGGCGTGGCTATTACTTGGGAGATCATCTTCTCTGAAAAGTTAACTTATTTAATTTTTAGACAATGAGACTGTGTGAGACCATTTGCCAGATTGCTGACAGTATGATAGTTTGATTTTTGAAGAAAAGTATTGAACTTAATTTTAGATGCAATACAGCATGGGAGTGGAATGATTGTGTACATAGATGGTGTGTGTAATAGTTACTGGGAGTAAAAAGTTTGATGTTGTAAAGTACTTGTAAATGTAAATTTCATCCTCTGGTGATACAAAATTGAAATGTGTACAACATAAAATGTTATTTTCTTAATTTTATGTGTCACCATTTTGGAAGATGGAAGTACTTTCAATCACAGCTACTTGTTCAGCTGCCTCATGCCAATTAAGAAATGTCCAAAGCTTCATTAGTGTTTCGTTACAAATAGATGATGTAAATCCACTAAAATAATCATTTATAATGAAGTCATCAAGAGAATATGGGACACTGTGTTTGCTGTTAGAGGAGAAGACTATAAGCAGAATAACTTTATGTTGAATTGTATACAATGCCATTCTTTGTGTGTATGTTTACTCTGGGCTTCACAGTAGGTAGGAGCATATGAAGAAATGATGATCGATCCGTATGACTAGCAAGGCCAGTTGGTTGGTCACCATTGTGATGCCAATGTAGATGTTAGGCAAAGAAAGAAGGTATAAAGTTATTATTATGAGAGCTACAGAAACAGATGATCCTAGATCAGAAATTGTTGGTACATGTCTATCAGATAGAAAGGGGAAAATGATATGGGACTTGTTGAGTTGTATCTGCATGGAATGTGGCAAAATGTAAGTAAATGTTCGTGTACATAATGAATAATTTTCACCGAAAATGCTTAGACTGGCAACACTGGGGCTTTTTCCAGACCATTGCCCAGGTGGGGCTTTAGAATTACCCGGAAATTAGTACCAGTGTCTGCTGCAGAACGCATAGGTGTTTGCACAACTTACCAGCCTCCAAAATGATTATCCTATATGCATTTCTACAATAATAGAAATATAAAGCCCATAAGTGTTTTGATCAGAGGATATATCATATTTTAAATAATTTGAACAGAAATTCAATTGTCCAAACAATGAATTATAATTTATATAACTTTGTCTTTTATTTATATTCATATACATATTCATAACAAAAAGAGATACATTTTCTTTCTTAGATCCTTCTTTGTTATTTACCTATAAATGTTTACAAGAATGTTCAAAAAGAAACTTTGAGGCTCTATTATCTAATTTAGAAATATTAAATATAATCATTAATGTATTTGGTGAGGTGTGTAAACACCTAAGAAAAATTCAAGGTACTGAATATGTCTGGTAAAGATCGACATTCCAGGAATCAGCATCCATTTGCAGAATTAATGTCCAGATATACTTTTTATGTTCAAATATTTGGGTGCACAATTTTCTGTGTTTGATGTTCATCTGCTTTGTTGTGTACCTAGAAATGTAATTTTATAGATGATTTTCTGATTATAGAGTGTAAAATCACTTTAGATAGATTTTCAGGCATTACCTCGTAATATGAACTCACAAATAACAGTGGTCTCTCTCTTCCAATTATACTTTTTTGATAATTATGTCCCCTTTGTAAAAGTTATTGCCCGAAATCAAACTATCATAAATCAACCAAAACATACGAAATCGTCTTCTCGTACGTTGTAGTCCACTTCATACAACCATGATATTGAACTTGTAATATTTAAGATACTAAAGAGATTTACGAGGGAGGCGGAACTCATTAACCTACATTGAACAAAAGTTGATCCATAAAGTTCTCTTTCCAAAGTTAAAGTTTCCCAGCAGTATTGGCTTCCAAACTCGGAGTAATGACCCAGGATCCAGACGTTGTAATATTGTTTTGACTTGAATAATAATTCACAACAAATTATTTCTCGACAGTCCTTCATTAGTGCAAGCGGACAACCTGATGAAGTTTATTGTGGGCCGAGCTCACAGTAAATGTCACCTTTGAAGTGGTTGAACGAGTTGTTTACTGACCTAGTGTATTTCATTGGTGCCCAATTCAGACGAAAGACACAGTGACGTATTGACTCACGTTATAAGCTCTTTTGAAATCTGGTACACGGCGATCGAATACTACGTGTATTAATCTCGTTAAGTATTTACCATTGCATTTACTTATGCGACAGATATTTAACTTATTGTGACACTAGATACCCCATTGTGCAGCTCACCTTACGAGATATATTATCTCGGTATAATAATGTTTTCGCAAAGGCGATTAGGAATCGCAGTTTACGTGACGAAATGATTGAATAATGAAATGATTTAGTCGTTTGATATCAAAACGGCGATTTACTAACTCTTCAATATATCATAAAAGATCACGAAGAACCAGAAATTATTTGTGATAAATCGAATAGAGAAATCGATGAAGACGATGCAATAGTTAGATGAGAAGTAAGCAGACACGACAACGAATGCGATTTTTGCAGGAGGATTGAGGGCAGCTCTATAAGTTTACACTGGATGTTCTTTGTTTTCGGATGTTACTTCCTGCATGCGATTGTTTCAGTTTTCACGGCGTGACTACTGACTGCCGGCCACGCTCTGGCGGCTGAGACATCGATACTTCTCCTAGGCTTCGAAGTCGTGCAGGGTTCCGATGACGAGTCTCCAGTTGGGGGAGATTTAGTGCGCATTTCCATGGTTAAGGACAGGGCTTAAAAAGAAGGGAGCCGAAATGAATGCTTTTTTGTTATTGTACAATTACTTATTTCAATTAAACTTTTAGAAGATTCCTAACTTTCTCTTCAATTGTGTGTCAACTACCGGAATGTAGACAATAATCAACTTGCTTGAAAGCTGCCTGCTTGGTACAATCTGCTTTAAAGTTGACTCGGCGAACCATTGAAAGAGATTTGCAAAAACTTTGTTTCGGTGGGTTATAAATGAGGCTCGGTGAAAAGAAAGAAGAGGAATATCTTGTTTTTCCTATTCATAAAATAATTCAGTTAATCGATATCATTTTTACGTTGTTCTCCATATAAAATCTGAAACATTTGGTGTAATTCCGGCAAAATAATTATTCGCAACCCCTTTTATGCCCTGGGTATACCTCCCGACGTCGGTGATGCCTAAACGTTTATATTGACGTTTCAATTCCCACAGCGTGTCTTTCCCTAAAACTACCAGCCACGCTCTGCGCGTTGAAACGAATATCTGAGCTGGGCCGCGACGTCGTGATGTTCGTCTAGGACAAACTTTTAATATGAGCATTTATAGACTTTGGGCATTCATTTACGAAGGACTCGTAGTTCGTGTTTCAACGACAAGTACATTGTCTGGCATATTCGTGGTTTTTATTATATTCAATATTTATTTGTCCGAAAGCCGAATCCGTTGTAATTAATTATTTTTCAGGGTGGTAGCTGAATGATTTATGCATTCATTGGGCTTTTCCAGGTCAGTGTCGTTTGAGCTGCTACGTTGACGTGTTACCCCGCGTAGCGTGACCATTAATCTCTTAACATCCACCTAACTGCCACGGACGGCCGCGCTATGAGTGGCGACAGGTCAGTACTGCAGCCTAGACTACACATGGCAGTAGACAATAACATATTCTCACCCATTAGTGTCGTGACACATTTGTCATTTAATGACAAAATATTTATTAATAGATTGAAAAGTCTATCAACAAACTTACTCTTTCATCCGTACAATAATTTTTCCTGGGGTGATGATTGCAGTTCAAAATAAGGAAACCGCTCATTGAAGTTCATAATCGAAAGCGAATTGTCCGGTTGTTAGGCAGAGGTCGTAGTCGTTGTCGTGTGTGGAAGCGATAGCAGTGGCGACTGAGGCGGTGGCGGCCGCCCTGGGAAGTCAATGCGTCGAAATATCTTTATACCTTGCTTGCTAGTTGGAACGTATGGTTTTTTTTTGTCTGGTTGGACGACACAGATGGTGACAAAACAATCATCATTAAATTGAATTATTTGGGAAACACGCACACTCTTATTGAGGAAATATTAACCTGAATCATGTTAAAAATGTAATAGATACGAATACAATGAAAATATCAGATCAATACTCATAATCTATCATGACTGTGTAGACATCAGTACAAATTGTCTTTTAAAATGGCTCTAATCATTTTGATTACAGCTATATCAATCTGATTGAAATATAAAATTCTGTAAACACATTGAAAACGGTCAGCACGATGTTCATTTCTTCAGATTTAACACAATTTTGACACATTTTTGATGATTTTCTTTGAAAATCATTATAATCGGTTTGATTACGGAAGTATGAATGTAAACGTATGTGGGACACTGTAGGTACATTAAAAATGTGGGGACAATGGTGATAAAATGAAATTTAATGAATATTTTCTTTGAAGCTCTCTGATCTTTCTCGTTCTTACCGCTGTTTAAATAACAGGAAATGTCCCAGGTTGGTTTTTTCTATTAATTGAAGCTCTAATACAAAAGACATGTCACTGTAATGCTCATTAAATTAGCTTTACTTTACAGCTTTAAGTAATTGTTCATTCTGTGTCAGTGACGAATCCAGTGAAACCTGGATTGAAATGTTGACTCTTCGTCAGTCGTAGTGGGCCAAATTCCACTGTCCGCTATGCTCTGAAAGGGCCTAAATGTCAACACTTCAGTCTAGAATACTTGGAAAATGCGACGAACAAATAGATTTTTACACCTCAATCAATGATTTTCATAAGAACTATTGAGTTGTAGCTTGTGAGGTTTTTTCAACATATTAAGTTTTATAATATTTACATTTTACCAATTTAGGAATAAAATGAGTTTGAAAATAATAATGAGCAATAGATATGGGTTTTTGTTTTTTCCAACCTCACGTCACCTATTTAAAACGGTGATTCAATATTTTTGAAGAAAAAAGCCGCAATATCCATCTTTGCGTAATAATTCTTCGTTCTTTATATTCTAGAAAAGCTCTGTCATCTGGGCTACAGTGTTGACGCTTCGCCCCACGTAGCTTGCCCAGGCGCCACCACGTCTCACGCTCTGAGGGGCCTAAACGTCGACACTGCCGCCCGGGAGGCCTTGCTATCTACTGAGAACGAATTGTGACACCGACTACATTTGCGATTTGGATAGCAGCCGTAGGGTCAGAAGCATTAAGCTTTCTGGCTTTTATATTCCCGACGCTCAAGAATGGCATTGGAGCTCATATCGCAGTCATTCTAACGGGATCAAAACGGTTACAGGATATATGTTTTAAAACGATTTTATGTATTAAGAAGCACATAATTTAATGTGACAATTCAAGAGCATTTAGGAATGTTGCTCGAGGAAACATATTTGTTATTGGACGTTTCAGCAGGGCCTTTCAGTCACTGTTGTTATTGTTAGCACCACTAAAATGAATGTACTTTCAGTAAAGTTAATAATTCCTTGTAGGTGTACTAAGAAACCCGTTTACCATTCGATGTTTCAGTGTATATATTTCCGCGGGTTCGTAGTTAATTCATTACTTTGACTCGCAGACTACAGTGAACAGTTCGCAATTGCATCGCGATTTCCGAAACATCTTTCCCAGAAAATATGGTATCATTCACCTTTCACCAATGAACTTAAAAGTGCGATTCAAAATTCTTTCAAACTGATTGAATGCTATTAAACTTTGGATGATTATCATACATAGCTAGGAAATCAAGAAGACATCCGACAGACTCACGCACGACAAATGTCAGACACGATCTAGAATTTCATGTTGTTTCTTCTGTGTGAAAACGATTTTCGTCTTTCTGAATCTATTAAAAAGTACACTTGTGCGATTAAAGAAGGTTCTATATAATGGGTTCTGAGAAGAGTATCGACGTTATTTCTCATTTAAAAATCGACAAAAATTCAAAATCTCAGAAACAGTGA